GCAAATCATTATCCGTCAAGTTACCGCAGCAAGCCATTATCCGTCAAGTCACCAGCATCAAGCCAACTAGCCATCAAGTCACCAGCAGCAAGCCAACTAGCCGTCCATTCACATGCAAGCCATCTAGCCGTCCAGCATCCAGCAGTAAGCCAAGTAGCCATCAAGTCACCAGCAGCTAGCCAACTAGCTATCCAGTCAGCTGCAGCAAGCCAACAAGCCAGCAATTCATAAACATTGAGCCATATAGCAGTTTTGGCAACAGCATCAAACCAATTACAAGTCTTATCAACATTAGCTAGTTATTAGCCGCCCCCAATTCATAAACATTAAGCAGACAAACTAGCTCACAAGTCATCAGCAGCAACCTAACTAGCTATCTAGTCAACAACAAAAAGCCAACAAGCCACCATAAAACCACAAAGGCGTCAAGTCACCTGCAGCTAGCCATTATCCGTCAAGTCACCGCAGCAAGCCAACTAGCCATAAAGTCACCAGCAGCAAGCCAACTAGCCGTCAAGTCACCAGGAGACAGTCCAGTCACCAGCAGCAAGCCAATAACCGTCCAGTCACCAGCAGCAAGCCAACTAGCCGTCCAGTCACCAGCGGCAAGCCAACTAGCCGTCCATTAAACAGCAGCAAGCCAACTAGCCGTCCATTAAGCAGCAGCAAGCCAACTAGCCGTCCAGCACCCAGCAGTAAGCCAAGTAGCCATCAAGTCACCAGCAGCCAGCCAACTAGCTGTCAAGTCACCAGCAGCTAGCCAACTAGCTATCCAGTCAGCTGCAGCAATCCAACAAGCCCCGTAATTCATAAATATTGGCAACAGAATCAAACCAATTACAAGTCTTATCAACAGTAGCTAGTTATTAGCCGCCCCCAATTCATAAACATTAAGCAGACAAACTAGCCCACAAGTCATCAGCAGCAACCTAACTAGCTATCTAGTCAACAACAAAAAGCCAACAAGCCACCATAAAACCACAAAGGCGTCAAGTCACCGCAGCAAGCAATTATCCGTCAAGTGTCCAGCATCAAGCCAACTAGCCCTCAAGTCAACAGCATCAAGCCAACTAGCCTTCAAGTCACCAGCAGCCAGCCAACTAGCAAGTCACCAGCAACCAGCCTACTAGCCGTCAAGTCAACAGCATCAAGCCAACTAGCCGTCAAGTCACCAGCAGCCAGCCAACTAGCCCTCAAGTCAACAGCAGCAAGCCAACAAGCCAGCAATTGATAAACATTGAGCCATATAACAGTTTTGTCAACAGCATCAAAACAAATACAAGTCTAATCAACAATAGCATGCTATTAGCCCAAAATTCATAAACATTAATCCGACAAACTAGCCCTCAAGTCATCAGCAGCAACCAAACTAGCTATCTAGTCAACAACAGCAAGCCAACAAGCCACCATAAAACCATAAAGCCGTCAAGTCACCTGCAGCTAGCCATTATCCGTCAAGTCACCTGCAGCAAATCATTATCCGTCAAGTTACCGCAGCAAGCCATTATCCGTCAAGTCACCAGCATCAAGCCAACTAGCCATCAAGTCACCAGCAGCAAGCCAACTAGCCGTCCATTCACATGCAAGCCATCTAGCCGTCCAGCATCCAGCAGTAAGCCAAGTAGCCATCAAGTCACCAGCAGCTAGCCAACTAGCTATCCAGTCAGCTGCAGCAAGCCAACAAGCCAGCAATTCATAAACATTGAGCCATATAGCAGTTTTGGCAACAGCATCAAACCAATTACAAGTCTTATCAACATTAGCTAGTTATTAGCCGCCCCCAATTCATAAACATTAAGCAGACAAACTAGCTCACAAGTCATCAGCAGCAACCTAACTAGCTATCTAGTCAACAACATAAAGCCAACAAGCCACCATAAAACCACAAAGGCGTCAAGTCACCTGCAGCTAGCCATTATCCGTCAAGTCACCGCAGCAAGCCAACTAGCCATAAAGTCACCAGCAGCAAGCCAACTAGCCGTCAAGTCACCAGGAGACAGTCCAGTCACCAGCAGCAAGCCAATAACCGTCCAGTCACCAGCAGCAAGCCAACTAGCCGTCCAGTCACCAGCGGCAAGCCAACTAGCCGTCCATTAAACAGCAGCAAGCCAACTAGCCGTCCATTAAGCAGCAGCAAGCCAACTAGCCGTCCATTCACCTGCAAGCCAACTAGCCGTCCAGTCACTAGCAGCAAGCCAACTAGCCGTCCATTAACCAGCAGCAAGCCAACTAGCCGTCCATTAACCAGCAGCAAGCCAACTAGCCGTCCATTCACCTGCAAGCTAACTAGCCGTCCAGCACCCAGCAGTAAGCCAAGTAGCCATCAAGTCACCAGCAGCCAGCCAACTAGCTGTCAAGTCACCAGCAGCTAGCCAACTAGCTATCCAGTCGGCTTCAGCAATCCAACAAGCCCCGTAATTCATAAACATTGAGCCATATAACAGCTATGGCAACAGCATCTAACCAATTACAAGTCTTATCAACAGTAGCATGTTATTAGCCCAAAATTCACAAACATTAAGCCGACAAACAAGCCCTCAAGTCATCAGCAGCAACCAAAGTAGCTATCTAGTCAACAACAGCAAGCCAACAAGCCACCATAAAACCACAAAGCCGTCATGTCACCAGCAGCAAGCCAACTAGCCATAAAGTCACCAGCAGCAAGCCAACTAGCCATCAAACACCAGCAGCCAGTCAACTAGCCGTCCAGTCACCAGCAGCAAGCCAACTAGCCGTCCAGTCACCAGCAGCAAGCCAACTAGCCGTCCAGTCACCAGCAGCAAGCCAACTAGCCGTCCAGTCACCAGCAGCCAGCCAACTAGCCGTCAAGTCACCTCGGCAAGTAGAAACGTCGACAGAGCATTATTAATAAGCTAATTAATCTTTTATTTATTAGTAGCAAGCCAACTAGACGTCAAGTCATCATCAGCAAGCTAACTAGCCAAGTCACCAGCAGCAAGCCAACTAGCCGTCGAGTCACCTGCAGCAAGCCAACTAGCAGTCCAGTCACCAGCAGCAAGCCGACTAGCCGTCCAGTCAAAAGCAAGCCAACTAGCCGTCAAGTCACCAGCAGCAAGCCAACTAGCCGTCAATTCACCAGCAGCAAGCCAACTAGCCGTCAATTCACCAGCAAGCCAACTAGCCGTCAAGTCACCAGCAGTAAGCCAACTAACCATCAAGTCACCAGCAGCAAGCCAACTAGCCGTCAATTCACCAGCAAGCCAACTAGCCGTCTATTCACCTGCAAGCCAACTAGCCGTCATGTCACCTGGGCAAGTAGAAACGTCGTCAGAGCATTATTAATAAGCTAATTAATCTTATATTTATTAGTAGCAAGCCAACTAGACGTCAAGTCATCATCAGCAAGCTAACTAGCCAAATCACCATCAGAAAGCCAACTAGCCGCCAAGAGACAAGCATCAAGCCAACTAGCCATCCAGTCATCACCAGCAAGCTAACTAGCCGTCAAGTCACCTGGGCAAATAGAAAAGTCGTTAGAGCTTTATTATTAATCTATTTAATCTTTTATTTATTAGAAGCAAGCAAAATAGCCGTCAAGTCACCAGCAGCCAGCCAACTAACAATCAAGTGACCAGCAGCCAGCCAACTAGCAAGTCACCAGCAACCAGCCAACTAGCCGTCAAGTCACCAGCAGCCAGCCAACCAGCCGTCAAGTCACTAGCAGCAAGCCAACTAGCCGTCAAGTCACCAGCAGCAAGCCATTATCAGTCAAGTCGCCAGCATTCAGTCAAAAGCAAGCCAACTAGCCGTACAGTCACCAGCAGCAAGCCAACGAGCCGTCCATTAACCAGCAGCAAGCCAACTAGCCGTCCATTCACATGCAAGCCATTTAGCCGTCCAGCATCCAGCAGCAAGCCAACTAGCCGTCAAGTCACCAGCAGCAAGCCATTATCAGTCAAGTCACCAGTAGCAAGCCAACTAGCCGTCAAGTCACCAGCAGCAAGCCATTATCAGTCAAGTCACCAGCAATCAGTCAAAAGCAAGCCAACTAGCCGTCAAGTCACCAGCAGCTAGCCAACTAGCTGTCCGGTCACCGGCAACAAGCCAACTAGCCAGCAATTCATAAAAATTGAGCCATATAACAGTTGTGTCAACATCATCAAATCAATGACAAGTCTTATCAACATTAGCTAGTTATTAGCCGCCCCCAATTCATAAACATTAAGCAGACAAACAAGCCCACAAGTCATCAGCAGCATACTAACTAGCTGTCTAGTCAACAACAAAAAGCCAACAAACCACCATAAAACCACAAAGCCGTCAAGTCACCAGCAGCTAGCCAACTAGCTATCCAGTCAGCTGCAGCAATCCAACAAGCCCCGTACTTCATAAACATTTAGCCATATAACAGTTTTGGCAACAGCATCAAACCAATTACAAGTCTTATCAACGGTAGCATGTTATTAGCCCAAAATTTATAAACATTAAGCCGACAAACTAGCCCACAAGTCATCAGCAGCAACCTAACTAGCTATCTAGTCAACAACAGCAAGCCAACAAGCCACCATAAAACCACAAAACCGTCATGGCACCAGCAGCAAATCATTATCCGTCAAGTCACCAAGCAGTAAGCAATTATCCGTCAAGTCACCAAGCAGTAAGCAATTATCCGTCAAGTCACCAGCAGCAAGCCAACTAGCCGTCAATTCACCAGCAAGCCAACTAGCCGTCACGTCACCAGCAGTAAGCCAACTAACAATCAAATGACCAGCAGCAAGCCAACTAGCCGTCAAGTCACCAGGAGACAGTCCAGTCACCAGCAGCAAGCCATTATCCGTCAAGTCACCAGCAGCAAGCCAACTAGCCGTCATGTCACCAGCAGCATCAAACCAACAGCATCAAACCAATTAGAAGTCTTATCAACATTAGCTAGTTATTAGCCGCCCCCAATTCATAAACATTGAGATATATAGCAGTTTTGGCAACAGCATCAAACCAATTAGAAGTCTTATCAACATTAGTTATTAGCCGCCCCCAATTCATAAACATTAAGCAGACAAACTAGCCCACAAGTCATCAGCAGCAACCTAACTAGCTATCTAGTCAACAACAAAAAGCCAACAAGCCATAAAACCACAAATCCGTCAAGTCACCAACAGCAAGCCAACTAGCCGTCCGATCAACTGCAGCAAGCCAACTAGGTGTCAAGTCACCAGCAGCAAGCCATTAACCGTCAAGTCACCAGCAGCAAGCCAACGAGTCGTCCAGTCACCAGGAGCAAGCCATTAGCCGTCCGGTCACCATCAACAAGCCAACTAGCCATTATAAAACCACATAGCATTCAAGTCACCAGCAGCAAGCCAACTAGCCGTCAATTCACCAGCGGCAAGCCAACTAGCCATGAAGTCACCTGCAGCAAACAAACTAGCCGTCTAATTAACAATAGAAACCAACAAGCCATTAAATCACAAGCAAGGTAAAGGAAACAAACAAACCCACAAACTTTTACTAAAACTACTAACAGACAACGGACCCACGAACGACCACTAACCCACTAACAAACAAATCAACCAACGGACAAAATCAACAAACGAACCTCACTAAAACCACTAATCGACAACTGACCAACGAACGACAACTAACCCACTAACAGACAAATCAACCAACGGACAAAAACCAACCAACTTTAACTAAAACCACTAACAGACAACTGACCAATGAACGACAACTAACCCACTAACAAACAAATCGACAAACGGACAAAAACCAACCAACAAACTTTTACTAAAATTACTAACAGACAAAGAACCAACCAACGAACGACAACTAATCCACTAACAGACAAATCAACCAACGGACAAAAACCAACCAACGAACATAAACTAAAACCACTAACAGACAACTGACCAACGAACGACAACTAACCCACTAACAGACAAATCAACCAACGGACAAAACCCAACCAACGAATTTAAACTAAAACCACTAACACACAACAGACCAACGGACGACAACTAACCCACTAACAGACAAATCAACCAACGGACAAAATCCAAAAAACGGACAAAATCAACAAACGAACCTCACTACAACCACTAATAGACAACTGACCAACGAACGACAACTAACCCACTAACAGACAAATCAACCAACGGACAAGATCAACAAACGAACCTCACTAAAACCACTAATAGACAACTGACCAACGAACGACAACTAACCCACTAACAAACAAATCGACAAACTGACAAAAACCAAACAACTAAAATTACTACTAGACAAAGAACCAACCAACGAACGACAACTAACCCACTAACAGACAAATCAACCAACAGACAAAACCCAACCAACAAACATAAACTAAAACCACTAACAGACAACAGACCAACGGACGACAACTAACCCACTAACAGACAAATCAACCAACGGACAAAATCAACCAACGAACCTTACTAAATCAACTAACCAACATCTGACCAACGAACGACAACTAACCCACTAACAGACAAATCAACCAACGGAAAAAAACCAACCAACGGACAAAATCAACAAACGAACCTCACTAAAATCACTAATAGACAACAGACCAACGAACGACAACTAACCCACTAACAGACAAATCAACCAACGGACAAAATCCAACCAACAAACTTTTACTAAAATCACTAACCGACAAAGAACCAACCAACGAACGACAACTAACCCACTAACAGACAAATCAACCAACGGACAAAACCCAACCAACGAACATGAACTAAAACCACTAACAGACAACAGACCAACGAACGACAACTAACCCACTAACAGACAAATCAACCAACGGACAAAACCCAACCAACGAACATGAACTAAAACCACTAATAGACAACAGACCAACGAACGACAACTAACCCACTAACAGACAAATCAACCAACGGACAAAACCCAACCAACGAATTTAAACTAAAACCACTAATAGACAACAGACCAACGAACGACAACTAACCCACTAACAGACAAATCAACCAACGGACAAAACCCAACCAACGAACATGAACTAAAACCACTAATAGACAACAGACCAACGAACGACAACTAACCCACTAACAGACAAATCAACCAACGGACAAAACCAACCAACGAACCTCACTAAAAACCACTAATCGACAAAGAACCAACCAACGAACGACAACTAACCCACTAACAGACAAACCAACCAACGGACAAAAACCAACCAACGAACACAAACTAACTAACGAGCAGCCCAGTACCCATGAGCAGCCCAGGAGCCAACGACTGAACGAGCAGCCCATGAGCCAACCAACAGCCCAGGAGCCAACGACTGAACGAGCAGCCCAGGAGCCAACGACTGAACGAGCAGCCCCGGAGCCAACGAGCAGCCCAGGAGCCAACCAACAGCCCATGAGCCAACCCCAACAGCCCAGGAGCCAACGACTTAACGAGCAGCCCAGGAGCCAACGTCTGAACGAGCAGCCCAGGAGCCAACGTCTGAACGAGCAGCCCAGGAGCCAACCAACAGCCCAGGAGCCAACGACTGAACGAGCAGCCCATGAGCCAACGACTGAACGAACAGCCCAGGAGCCAACGACTGAACGAGCAGCCCAGGAGCCAACGTCTGAACGAGCAGCCCAGGAGCCAACCAACAGCCCAGGAGCCAACGACTGAACGAGCAGCCCATGAGCCAACGACTGAACGAGCAGCCCAGGAGCCAACGACTGAACGAGCAGCCCAGGAGCCAACACCTGAATGAGCAGCCCAGGAGCCAACGTCTGAACGAGCAGCCCAGGAGCCAACGTCTGAACGAGCAGCCCAGGAGCCAACGACTGAACGAGCAGCCCAGGAGCCAACGACTGAACGAGCAGCCCAGGAGCCAACCAACAGCCCAGGAGCCAACGACTGAACGAGCAGCCCAGGAGCCAACGACTGAACGAGCAGCCCAGGAGCCAACCAACAGCCCAGGAGCCAACGACTGAACGAGCAGCCCAGGAGCCAACCAACAGCCCAGGAGCCAACGACTGAACATGCAGCCCAGGAGCCAACAGCGCAATGACCTTACAACCAACCACGAAAAACCTATTGCCAGAAATAATCCAGCATTAAGCCCACAATCATCTAGCACCAACTCCAGCTAGACAGAAGAGAACCATACCGCCAGTCAATTCGTTTACAAAACAAGCAGCCCCTAGCCGAAACAAATCAGCATACAGCAGCCAGCCCCTAGCCGACATCCTAACTGGCAGGCAACAACCAACCAGCTACCAACCCAGTTACCCCAACCAACCAGCTGACAACCCACCAGCAGAAAATCAACCAGCTGACTAATAAGCAAGTGGTCCATAACAGAATTATGCACAACCAAGTTGACACAGTCGCCCTAGATGTACACACCAAATTGACACAAATTGACACAGTGGCCCGAGATGTACACACCAAGTTGACACAATGGCCCTAGATGTACACACCAAGTTGACACAATGGCCCTAGATGTACACACCAAGTTGACACAATGGCCAAAGACAGAGCACTGTACACTAGTGTACACGCAAAACTGTACAGTCATGTCAAGAGATTTATTCGTCTTGATCTGTTTCATTCCGCCAGCATTAGTGTGTCTAAACACGTACATGTCATTTTGTGCAAATGTTTCCATCATGTTTGCTTTTCTTCAAAATAGGAATACAATTCTAATAAATAAATTGTTTGTATAGTCACTTTGTTATTATGTGTACGTGTAGCTATTACATTTATTGTTTTACTACAAATTAGGAATACAATTCTAATAACTACATTATTTGTCAAGTCACGTAGACGTTATGTATACCTGTTACTATTACATTTATTGTTTTACTTCAAATTATGAATGCAATTCTTATAGCTAAATTATTTGTCAAGTTATTTAGATTTTATTTATACTTGTCTATTATATTTGTTCAAATTAGGAATATTATTTTAATAACTAAATTGTCACATCATCCCGTCAGCTAAGACTTCTGTTTATCTCGTTTAACCCAACAATATTATAATTTGTTTTACCCATCATTAGTCTTAAATTAAGTTTATTGTTTCTTAAAATCTAAGTTTACAACATTGTATCTATTAACATTTTAACTAATCTCATGTGTTTATGTCCACATTTTGTGCTAAGTGCTCATCACTTGGTACTTAATATTCCATTTTCAAATGTATCTCAATTTTTTTTAATTAAAAATATTTTAATTTGCAGTATAATTTCATGTACAAGTTAGCAGGAAAAAGAAAACACGCATACACATTTCATCCCTTTCTTTAGAGAATGTATATGTTTGTTCCATCCTATTCTGATGCATGTCGAGAATTGGTTTTGTTTTTGTCAGAGCCAAGATTGCTTATAATATGTAATATAAAGAGTAGCAGTCAAATAGAATAGGACACTTATATTGAATGATATATTTTTATTTGTAAATGTTTCTAGTAATTATTAAACCTTTTTAGTAGTAATTGTTTCAATATGCGCTTTCAGTGTTAAAATGTGTAATGTCAAACGTCTCTATGTATGTGTATGTTGTCTGTCCACTCGATCAACGTGTATGTTATTGTGAAGGAGTTCACAAAGAAGAATTGGACTCATAGGCATGGACAAGTGGATTTATTCCTAACCCTAGAGGGGTGGAAGGTCAAAACTAGAATCATACTATTCAAACACTTCAATTGAATTATCCACAAAGATTTTTTTAAATAAATTCTTTTTTTTAGTTCACGCAATCCCATACTGCCTGACCCGTTTAATTTTAACTGGTCGTAGTTTTTAACATTAATCTTTACTACACCAAAAGCAGCTTGTTAAGTTTTTTTAAGAAATTTGTATTACAAAAATGGGCCAGATCGCACACTTCTTTACAAAACCAGTAATTTAAAAAATTTACAACGAGCGTGAGTTGTTTCAAAGGCTCGATTTGTTTACCTAAACAACTTCGGAGGTGAGGGGGGGGGGGGGGGTCCTTAGACCTCAAGGGAAGCGAGTTGACCACCTTGGTTGGCCACGACACTATGAAATTGATTTGATCAGTGTTTCTTCCAGACTTTTTTCTCCGGGGGGGGCACTTGAAATTTTCGGGGGGGGGGGGGGGGGCGGTAAACTTTCTTCGGGGGGGCGGACACTGTTAAAAGTATATATTTTCTATATAAATTATATAAATTTCATTCCGTTCGGGGGGGGGCGGTAAATTTTTTTCGGGGGGGGGCTTTGCCCCCCCCCCCCCCCCCCCGAAGAGATGCCTGGAAGAAACTCTGGATTTGATGACAACGTGCAGCCAACAAAGCGTGATAAAGTGTCGGTACTCTAACTGGGTAACAGTAAAATTGTAACTGTTGGTAACTTTAGCAATGATTTGACAAAAGAAGTTTATATTACATTAGAACGTGGTTTGTTGTTGTGCGTGTGTGAGGGACGTTTGTGTTCGTATGTGTGAAGGGAAGGGTGGAGTCCGGGTGTGGGGAGCTTAGCGGGAAATAGTGTTGCGTGAAAGAAATTTCTGAAGGCAAAGAGTACACTTATTTATTTTGTCTTTCTTTTTTTTTTCCAATGTACAGATTTTTTTCTTTTAACTAAAAAAAAATTGTAACGTTAAATCATAATATTTCAGATTTATTTTCATTTTATAAAACACGTGGATTTAATAGAAACAAATACATGAAAGTGGGTAAAGGATGGAGTTGTCTGAACTTGAATGAGTTACTCGGTTTGGAGATGGTTGTCTGTCATATCTTCTGACGTCAGCGTATACGTAAGATATTTATTTTTCTGGGTTCATTGTGTAGAAGATTTCATGACAGACGTCGTTGTTAGGGTGCTGGTCACTGAGGTATTGTTCTATTTTGTTCTTCGCGTATTGTTTTGTTAGGCAGTATCCGCACTAAAAGACAGGGGTGTCTGTGTATTCTACCTCGTGGATTGACATAGCTATTATTTTGATTATAAATTATCGAAATGTACTCAAAAACTGATATTTATATATTTAGAAGAAGGTTAGCGTATGATTTACATAACAAATATTGTAACTGAATTTAGATTTATATTAGTAAATGTATAACAAAAACGAAGATAGCAGTTGCAGGCTAGTTTATTAAGTTTAGTAAAGTTGTTTGTATGCCTAAGTCTAGTTCTAGCTCTAGCTCTAATATTAAGGTTTGTTAAATATAAGTATTGCGAAAAATTGTCACCCCCCCCCCCCCCCCCCCCCGCGGCCCGTGAAAGCAGCCGTTCGTGATGACAGTTTACAGACGACAATGAAAAGATCAAGCAGAAATTGTTTCCTCCCCATAGTTTCAAATCTTTTAAAAACTCAATTATCTTCCCCTAATAGCCGCCATCGACCCGGCTCTATCATTGTAAACATTCGTCGTGTACCAAAGCTCACCAGACTGGTTGGGGTTGGGGTGGTAGCAATATGCCTGGAGAGCGTTGGAGTAACGGCGTGCGTTTACGTGGTGTCTCGCATGGTCCCCGTGAAGAGAATTATATATATAGATAAGGGAGTAGGACATGTCGGCACCTTTTGTTGTGTTTGGTACAATCAGAAGGACTTAGATGTGATCTTATAGAAAATCCATTAAAAATATGCTTTAGTGTTGTGTTTATGTGTGAAAATTACAAATATGATTGTTATAACGATTGCCATGGTATAAGTTAATACATTTTACAAGTTATTCCTGTTTTGTAACTTTTTTTTATTTGTTGAAAAAAAAATGTTCTACATTCTTGACGGTACTTATAAGTATCAATATATATTTGGACCATTTAAAATTTACGAAACTAAATTTCCTTTGACATATGCTTTAAGAGTGCCAAAAGCAATATCATAACGCATTGTTTAAGAACCAATTTCATTCAGAACTTAGTTCCGTAAATTAAGGGTTGAAACTTACTATTTTTTTCCCACTTCACTCTTTGTGATACAAGTCGTGTGTCCAAATCCGATCTATGTCCGGATATATTTTGTTTAGCCATGTTGTAACAGTGTTTTAAAAGCACCGACAATAACATTTTAATAATAATGACAGTAACATTTCAAAGGTGTTGACATTAATGTTTTAATGACACTTACAGTAACGTTTTATTGGTACCAGTAACGTTTTAATAATACTGACAGTAACGTTTTAGTAATACTGACAGTAACATTTTAATGGTACTGACAGTAACAGTCGTTGCCGGCGTTAACCGGGACAAAGGTGTCGGTGCCGTCGTCCTTCTCTACAAGGATCCACTGGACTCTGTTCCTCAGCTGGCAAGTACCAGATAGTGTACAAGGGGAGCCTAGCCTGTGAGAAAAAATATTCGCAGAAAACCTGCTGTAAACTTAAAGTTAAATTAAATTATGAAGCAGATATACAGAGAGTGCAGCCGATCAAACACTATTTTCTATGTAAGACTCAATGAAATTCTTGAGAGTGCAGCCGGAGAGAGAGAGAGAGAGAGAGAGAGAGAGAGAAAGAGAGAGAGAGAGAGAGAGAATACATTATTTTTTAAGCATCCACTTTTTTCCCCACCAGGGTATCCCTCAATACTGCCAGAACATCACTTCAGGTTGAACTAGACGAAGGGACAGTAGGTTGAATGAAGAATGTGGGCCTCGAGAACGGGTTCGAACTCGCGACTTTTGAGTTAGCAAGCCTGCGTTTTACCACTGTCGCGATCTGTAAGGGAAGTAAGCAGCAGCCTCACAACAGTCGGAGCGGGGGGGGGGGGGGGGGGAGAGACACCTAAACGAAAATTGTAAACCCAAAGATAAATCTCCTTGTCTAGTTGTTTTAAGAAAGAATTGAAAGTTATAAACAGGATTGAGCAAAGGGTGACACGAACCGGATAAAATTGTTTGCACTTCCACCAGAATGTATGTCAAATAAAGTTACAATTTCAGTCTTAATTTAGGTCAATCGGGCAGAAGTAGATTTGACCTATTATTTTATGTGATTGGGATATTCAAAGATGTTATAATCATTCTATGCCCTGTGACCTGTATACTCTTTAACTAGTGTACTCATATAGGCCTCTATGTATATGTCGGTCTCTCTCTCTCTCTCTCTCTCTCTCTCTCTCTCTCTGTATATATATATATTGGCTATATTATATTATATTATATTATATTATATTATATATATATATATATATATATATATATATATATATATATATATATATATATATATATCAAAGTTTGCGTATTCGTATGTGTATGTGTGTGAAAAAGAGACTTACGCAGCGCACTTTCCCTGATTTAGAAGCTGATAGGTCGAGGTGAGGTGTTTGACTCTGTAACTTAGGTTGTCATACACCGATGTGACGTACCATGGTGTGGTTACAGTCATGACGCTGTGGTATCAACACAAAGTTGGTTTTAAAGTGGGATAGCACGTGCACAATGGCGGAACTAGAACCCCCCCCCCCCCCACACACACACACATCTCCTTCTGCATCACTATATGATGTAGCCCTATAGAATACCATTTAAAAAATTAATTAACGACTCGCGCTTTTCTTTTTTATTATTTAAATAGTGGTTATTTATTATGTATTTAAAGAAAAGGATTCATTTTTCTTAATATTGCATAATTATATACAGCTTGCTATTAAACCTTTGTTTTTAATTTCAAAACTTAAAAATTAACAATTATATTAACAATTTAACAATTAAAGTGAACCACACAACGTCTAGCTGAGGTAGACCACTTAACAGCGTACAATTAAAGTGAACCAATCAAATTTCACTAACGTGACACAACATGGATCCGCTCCTCTACGGCTTTGTTGATTGGTCACATCGTTGCTATCTTTTGGCCAGTGCGTGGTCAAGCTCTCATTTTGAATCTGGAATATACCGCTCATAAAACTGCTGTGGTTGTGTATCAGACTGTAGAGGCTGTCGCTGTCTAGAAAAAGACCTGGGAATCGCTCGCTGTCGGAGACCTCTTTGCATTTTGAATTGTCTATTATCTCAGCGTAAGAGTTTAATCTGGAAGAGACAGTTATAGCTGAGTTTATTTCGCTTTTTTTGTGTTTTACATTTTGTCGTTATTTAATTACAATTAAGGGGTCGGCGTGGTCGAGTCGGTAAGGCTCATGGTTGCTAAACCGAAAAGTCTCAAGTTCGAACCCTCGGGCAGATGAGGCTCGTTAGCTGGGGACAGCCACACTTCTAGGAGAGACAACTCCAAAATCAAACAACTGCTGCCTTGTAGTTTGTTCTTGGTTGGACAAAGGCTATGGAAGCAAATCCAAAAAGAAAAGCAGGCTGAAATCGGAGCCAATGGCCTCAATGGCGCATAACCAGTTGACACGTAATCCTTAATTGTGATGGAAGCATGGTCGAGTCGGCAAAGCTCATGGTTGATAAATTCGAAAAAAGTCTCGAGTTCAAACCCTCTGGCAGATAAGGCTCGATCCCTCCCAACACTAAAAATTAAGAACGAACAAGAAGAATTACAATTAAAAATTTTAATGAATGTACTCCAGTTTACGATCCCACTACACCTGTCGAACGTACCCTAGCCAACGAGCATTCTCCAACTAACGAGCTAACCACATATAGCAGATATAGCAGATACTGAGCCTTTCTCGCTACAGTACTTAGCTCAAAGAACATACCTAATCACGCGAATTTACCTTAGTTAAATAACATAATAACCACTTTTAATGAACCCTCTGCACGCTAACAAACTAGCCTTAACTAACGATCGTATTCCAGCTAACGAACGTTCGTTAACAAACTTACCCCAGTAGTTTGTGGCTCAATAGGAGAGAAAACAACAAACTAAGTGAAGCAAACATTTCCAACAGCTACCCAGCATATGCCCAATGGTAAACTATCACTGTAACAATGTTTATACAGAAACATGATGTGTTCTTCGGGACATGTCTTTTGTCCACCCACCCACTCCATTAACCCCACTCGTGGGCGTAGCGAGGGGGGTGCGGACCGCACCGGGTGACACCATTTAGGGGGGTGACACCAAGGCAAAAAATAGCAAAATATATAGAGAAAAATGATAATTCCACTTAATAGAGTGATTAATTAGAGTGTTAAATAGCCTTTTAAGAGATGGGGGGGGGGGGGTGCAAATCGAAAGTTTGAGGGGGGGGGGGGGTGTAAATCGAAAATTGAAAGTTTGTCCCCGGGTGACACCCAACCTCGCTACGCCACTGCTCTGAATCGATATGATACACGCAAATGTTACTACTGCCAATGAGATACGAAGGCGTAGATAATTACAATCAGTAGCGAATGAAAAAATTGGAAGGGAGGAGGGGGCTGACAGGACACCAGCAGGGGTTCCGATCTTAAAAGCCCCCCACCCTCCATTTTCTTTTATCAAAAACATGTAAATTTAATGGTCACATCTTGTTTTGCTTAACTAGTTCAATGGTCCACTATTGCTAACATTAGCTGTCAGGGGTAATCCATAAATGACGTCACGCTTTTTTGGACGTTTTTTACCTCCCCCCTCCCCTCCGTCACACATCGTCACAAAAAGCCAGACCCCCCCCCCCCTAAAATGACATCACACCTCAGCCTACAACCCCCCCCCCTCAAAATTGCAGTTTAATTTTTTTAAAACATCGATATTTTTCCAAAATCTTGTCTGAACTCTATCAAAATAGAGTATTTTAATCAATTCCTATTACAGTTTATTAAAAGTGTTTTCTAAAACGCGAAATAATGGCTAAAATTCGTTTTCTAACATTGTTTTTTATAATGCAAAAGTGTGACGTCGCACCATCTGAACCCCCACCCCCTCCCCCTCATCACAGACCGTCACTAAATTACGGACCCTTCCCCTCCCCCCTACGAGTGTGACGTCATTTATGGACGACCTCTGTCACGGCCTATGTTCAGACAATTTTTACTTAAAGCGATTTTCCCTAAAATGATAGCCTACAATTTATTTCTGGCATAATAATGGTTTGATCACCTACTTTTAGAAAATGTGCTCGCTGAATGTGACACGTAACGTATTTATTCCGACACTTGTTCTTAAGATTCATTCTACTAAAGGCTAACAACAACTGAATATCAAGAGATGGGAAATGGGGGATAAAGCCCAACAAGCTGCAGTTTTAGGGCCCCAAACTTGTTATCAATACTGAATTTGACGTTGTACCGACTTTTTTGGTTTATTCTAGTTAATTAAATGTTTTAACGCTAAAATCATAAAAGTTTTTTTTTTTTTAAATTTCAAACACAAACCTTAGATTTTCCCCGGACAGTATTAAAAACAGCTGTCATTGCTTCATGTCAAACATTTGATATTTATTTCGCAATAGATCTACCTCACTTTCTTAACGTGAGAATATCTCTTCTTGGACGGGCATTCTAACACATACACCTAATGTAGCCTAGCTTATGTGCTGTTCAGCCTGGATATTATAAAACACTGAAATCTTTTGAAAATATAAATGAAAATGTTTATTTCTTGACAATAGACACCGAGAGCTTATTTCAGGCGTCTCTTTGATGGTAGGGAGGGGTGGCAGTGCACTCTACTCCCTCCCCTCCCCTACATACACACGTATGGAGCATTGTATTATTTTCTTCTTTTTAGTGCATTTTTAAAAGCTTGTAATTATAAACGTTTTTATGTATTTATTATTTTAAATATTTAATGGGCCTCTCAAATACCTTTCTCGCGTCCATTAAATTTCCTTAAGATGCGTAGTCCTTTTAGAAAAGATTAGTATTGTCAGAAAAAGTAAGCCTCGTCTGAGTTTAGAGTTTAGAGGGAAATTTGAAGCAGGCGCTCATTCGCTCTTAGGCCAGCCTATATATGTTCTATTTTTGGAAACGTCTCTGCTATGATATGGCACATAGCTGGATTATGTGTTTGTTAGAATAAGGACATACAAGTGACATACAATAGCAACTTATCAGAAACAATAATTGTTCGCATTGGAATACGACATGGGCATTTCGTTGACTGGTTGATGGTATAATGAAACTGATTAGAGGAAACAAACTGGAAGTTAAAGGCAGTTTAATTATAGCCCATAACTTTCTGATTAGAATCAGCAGCGATAAAATGCGTTTTAACATTCAAAGCCAATGTGAAATTCAAATGCATTATTTAAAAAAAACACTCGGGATCTATAGCTAAATGTGAAGTAATGGACGGCTATATTAGTGAGGTAGTGGACGGCCGTTAAGCTAGATTAATTATTGAGGGAAATTAATTTGTGAGCACGCTACGTCATAATTAACATATATTATTTTAGGCTCCTGCGCTTTAAGTAAACCATGTGCAAGCAGAAAATAATTAAATCTTGTTTGTTTTTAAATGTTCTGTGATTTTTAGGTGATTTTTGCTTTTTTATTTTAAAAAAATGCTTTTATCTTTCTGAGTTTCTTCAAGGCATCTCTTCGGGGGGGGGGGGGGCTCTCTCGAAGAAAGTCTACCCACCCCCGCCCCACCCACCCCCCCCCCCCCCCCGAACGAAATGGAATTTATTTAGAAAATATACTTTTACCAGTGTCCGCCTCCCCGGAAAATGTTGACCGCCCCCCCCCCCCCCGAAAATATCAAGTGCCCCCCCCCCCCCCCGGAGAAAAATGTCTGGCAGAAACACTGCTTTTCATGACCATAGAACTAGTATAAAAATAACACATTATACAAATTTAATTTATTATAGTCTGTAAAAGAAATTATGGGGCCAAAAAATAATCGGGGTCTCCAGGCTGCTGCTTAACTAGCCCCCCCCCCCCTTTAATCCCTCACTGGCTGAGGATGTGTTCGTTTGTATTTCTGTTTGATTGCAAGTGTGTCTGAGTGCGTAGGTGCGTGATTGCGGTGTGTGTGTGTGTGGGGGGGGGGGGGTGTTTGCTCGTGTATCAGTTGAATAAGGTTTGAATTTATTATTCCCCCGAAAAATATTTGTGTCTGCAGTTAATCAAACAGGGATTAGACAGGAAACTCATTTAGTTGTAAGTAAAGCTCAGTCTCTATAAGACTATAAATCCTATTGCTTTAATTACACATGGATGCAGGTTATTTAATTAATATCACAAACTGGATTCAAAGGGAACACCTTAACATAACATTCTTTCTAACAATAAACTGGTTTAAATTTAATGCTCACTTGCTCATTAGCAATGTAGCTATAAGCCAACCAGAGACAATGCACAAAATTATTGAAACGTAATACAAAATACTGCACTGGAATGTATTAAATCACAAAACAAAATCTATTTTAAAAGATTTACAAGCAACACTAATTACTACAAAACTCAATAATCACTTGTTTAATACTTCTCTCAATTGTTAGATGGTTTGGTCTTTATTTACTTGATAACCTGCGTATGGCAGTCATATATTACGGCACTTGTTAAAATAGCTATAACAGCCGTCCACTTGGTCACCTGATAGAATAGCTATAACAGCCTCCCCCCCAGTTGGTCACTTGATAGAATAGCTATAACAGCCCCCACTTTGTCACCTGATAGAATAGCTATAACAGCCCCCCCACTTGGTCACTTGTTAAAAAAGCTATAACAGCCCCCACTTTGTCACCTGATAGAATAGCTATAACAGCCCCCCCCCCCAGTTGGTCACTTGATAGAATAGCTATAACAAGGTCAAAGACAGAACCACTAACTCACCCTCTAGGTCAAAGACAGAGCCACTAACTCACCCTCTAGGTCAAAGACAGAGCCACTAACTCACACACTAGCTCACAGACAGAGCCACTAACTCACCCTCTAGGTCACAGACAGAGCCACTAACTCACACACAAGGTCACAGACAGAGCCACTAACTCACACACAAGGTCAAAGACAGAGCCACTAACTCACACACAAGGTCAAAGACAGAGCCACTAACTCACACACAAGGTCAAAGACAGAGCCACTAACTCACACACAAGGTCACAGACAGAGCCACTAACTCACACACAAGGTCAAAGACAGAGCCACTAACTCACACACAAGGTCAAAGACAGAGCGACTAACTCACCCTCTAGGTCAAA